CTGGCTTGAGGTCTAGGTGCTGGAGGCAGATGCTGGGGTGTGGCAGGGAGGACACTCGGGACAACAAGGGGAAACCACCTGTGGCTCTTCCAACACAACCCCAATTCCAGCTGGCCCCCTCATGTCTTCCCAAAGTACATTTCCATGCATCCAGCCAAACTCAAACCTGGGATCTCTGCCTGGGAAACTCAAGGTACAATGTCAAATGAAAGAGAATAAAACATCATCACCACTGTGCATTAGAAAAGCCATTTAAAGTACCACATGCCGAAGTGACCAAACAGTTTCAAGCGAGTTTCGCTGCGGGCGCTGAGCGACGCCGGGGGCTGTGGTCCCGAGCAGATGCCTCTGGTCCTGGGAGCTGGCTCAGCCAGGATGGTCCTGGCCATGGTGCTGTCTCTTCCCCCCTGGAAAGGGCCCAGCTGCACCAGAGACACGGGGGCTCGGGTTCCAAATGCTGCCTCTCTGCCAGTAGCTCTCCAAGGAAAATCAAAAGCAGAAGAAAACCCCCGGCAGGACACATGGTCTCAGCTGGGACACCCCTTCAGCAGCAACGCTCCCTCTGCAGCCAATCTCCAGCCCTTCATGGCCAGAAGGGACCATGCAAGCTTAGGGCTGGCTTTTGGGGCTGTTGGCACCATCTAGCTCAGGGGCAAACTCCGTGATGACCCTCCGAGCCAGCGGGTTTGTGGTCTTGAGCAGTTCAGCAGCAGAAGGCCGGGTACCAGGGCTGGTTTTGCTGCTCTTCTTCTGCAGCAGGGCTTTAAATTTGCTGGAGCACTTCCCAGGGCTGCCCACTGCTGCTGGGGACTCACTGGTTGGAGAGCCTGAAGTCTTTACAGGCGAGTGGGAGTTGGGCCGGCTGCCAAAGGTGTCACTGGGCTCTTTCCGCCCCAAGACCTTTCTCTTGGACCTGGGCACCAAAGAGATGGGTGATGGGAGCAGCTCTGGGCAGGAGCTGCCTCCTCTCTAGATGGGGTGATGCACTCAGCTGCTGACAAATGCTCTCCTGGCAGCTGGGTCCAACTTGCCCCAACGCTGATGGAGCAGTGGAGCCCCCAAAGCTGGTAACCCAACCTGGCCACGGACTCAGGGTGCTGAACACAGAAGCGCTCAAGTGAGCATCGGCCCCAGTGTGGAAAATGTAAGGGTGCTGGGACACTGAGCCTGGCTCTGTGACCACGGGGGGTGCACGAGGGGGGGGGCTGTGCCCACCCAGTGCCTTACACCAGCCCTACCTGTGGATGACGGTGAAGAGATCCTCGGTGGTGCGGGATGCCACAAACACCTCGTCGTCCTCCTCCGCGATGGAGTCGGCCGTCTTGTCACTGGCAAAGCTCTTCTCCGTGACAGCCTCTGCTGAGCTGCCTGAGGGTGGGGAACAGAAGGCAGCCATGAACCACCCTGTGCACTCCTGGGGATCCCTGACCCCTGGGGTGAAACCCACTGCAGGAGTGGGGAGACTCTCACCTTGCTCTGAGGTGGGTTCACCAGCTTCTGCTGTGCCGAGGGCCTCTGGGGACAGTGGGTCCTGGGTGTTGGAGTGGCAGAAGGTGGGCTCGGTGTCCAGCGTAATGATGGGGCTGGGGGTGGGTGGCTGGTCCACCCCACTGGCTCCCAGCTGGCCTGGGGCCAGGGCGAGCGGCAGGTAGAGCACACTGGGCTTTTTGGGCACCGGCGGCGGCACCTTGGCCTTCCTGCGCTGCCCCTCGCCGGCCCCGCGCCGCTCCGGCTGCAGCTCGTCCTCCAGGCTGCCCTGCGAGAGCCGCCGGGGTCCCGCCGGGGGTGCCCCCAGGTCCCTCCTCAGCTCCCCTTTCCGCAGCACCACGAAGCTGTCCTGCTGCAGCCCCTTCTCCTTGGTGGCGGCACCTGGCGGGGACGTGGGGGACAGGGGACCCTCCTCCCGCAGCACTAGGGGCTTGGGCAGGATGTTTGGGGGACGCTTGGCCAGCGGTGGCTTCTCTGCCACTGGCGGCTTCACCCTCCCCTCACGGCAGGGAGCACGGGCTGGCTCCTCCGCGTGCTCCGCGCCGTCCGCGTTGTCCTCGGGCTCCGAGCGGCTCACGGAGCGGAGTCGGACGGAGCGCAGGTCGGACTGCGTCACCACCGGCATGATGGGCGTGATGGGGCTGGTCTTCTGGGCCAGCTTGGTGCCAAAGGTGGAGTCGGAATGGTGCCTGCTGACCTTCGTCTTCCCCTTCAGGGAGATCTTCAGCCCTGAGAGGTCGAGGTGGGCAGGCGGCGTGAGTGGCAGGTCGAAGGACAACCTGGACTTGGGGCTCCTCTCCATGGGGGATGTGGGGGGCAGTGAGGATTTCCTCTCGGGGACCAGTGGCCTCACCCGCACCTGGTGCGGGGAGTGACCCAGGATGGCGGAGGTGGGAACGGTGGGGGTTGGTGTCTCTGACTGGCTGGAATACCCGCTGGATGGGGACATCAGCCCTGTGGGCCTGCCTGGCGAGGAGGTCTTGAGGTCTGCCTCGGTGGAGAGCTGGGATGGTGTTGTGGCCCTGGAGATGGAGGGGGATGCCAGGGACTCAGAGCTGCCCCGTGCCTTGGTGCACCCGATGGCTGTGGTCCCTGTGGCCGTGCTCGAGCTGGAGAGGGACCGGTAGGGATCACCAGCCTTCCAGTCTGGCAGGTGCCACTGGTGGGGGGTGGCCATGCCATCAGGCTCCCTCCCTTGGGGGTCGGCATGCACCAGCCGGTGGGCCCGGAGCACCGGGGGGATGCACAGGCTCTTGGGGCGCTGATCC